CATGTCATTTCTGAAGTTGATGTTTACATTCTTGGTTGTTTTGGCAAGGGGAAGTCATTTCTGTGAGAGAGAAAAACCAAAAGCATGAGAATAATGACTTACCATTATGGTCTGGTAAAAGTAGACCAGAGTCCAGACACTGCCCCTCAGGGTGTACCTGCCTACACTCCCCAGAGAATGGTCTTCTGGCCAGTGCACTGTCTATAACCCCACAGGACATTATAACCTACTAGGAGATTAAGGCAGCTTCAGATAGCTCTGTGGTTTGCACTTCTGTCTCCTGAAAATATTTTTTTATTCTGTTAGACAATGATTCCCCTTCTTTTGATGAATCTGTTTCAGTCTCTTTGTAATAGGTTTAGCAGTCAGATTTGTGGATCTGTGGGAATTTGTGTGAAATATTTTATGCATGTTCTGAAATGTAGTTTTGCTCATGTTTTTAGTTCTGCTGCCCCTGGTAATAGCATGTGGCACCCTAAAAACCCCCTCGCAAGCTGTAATTGGGTGATGCTTCCAGAGCATAAATCCAGAGTATGGCTCCTGGTGGCACCTTGGTGAAGATCATGCCCACACAGTCTCATGGTCTTGGTCATCTCTAATGGCATGACTCTGGGGCCACAGTGCGTTGGACTTGGCTTTGAGTACTCAGCTGGAGGATGTGGCAGTAAAAGCAAGGAGATTATGCAGGTGTGTGCTGGAGCCGTGGACAACAGGAAAGCAGAATCAGCTCCTGCTCGCCTGCTTTCTCAGTGTGACCAACAGTTCCTGAAATGATACCGTACATTATGTGCGCATTGATTTCTGCAGACAGGACAATTCCGAGATAGGAAAAAATGGTGCTTATTGCCATATAGAATAATCCACTGTTGGGAGGCATTTAAAAATAATTACATGGCTTATCTTTTAAAGTGAGAGTTCCCCCTGCTTTCTTTACACTTATGTCTGCTACTGGCTTTACTTTTTCCTTGTTACTTTTTTACAGGCTCAACATACTATTGACAGGCATGGACCCCTTCTACTTTCACGCAGTGAACATGATCCTTCACTGCTTGGTGACGCTCGTGCTGATGTACACCTGTGACCGAGCCGTGTTCAGGAGCCCGGGCCTTGCCTTTGTGACGGCCTTGCTGTTCGCCGTGCACCCGGTCCACACTGAGGCGGTGAGTGCCGTGAGCTCCAGGGAGTGGCGGCCCAAACCGGCTGTTATCATCTGTGTTGATCTTTTGTTCCTTTCGGAACTACATCAACTCAGAGCTCCATCAACTCAGAGCTCCACTGAAGCGCTTCTCTTTATACACAAATCACTCTGCTTGATGGTTTTTCCTTTTGAACACTCAAATTGGCTTGCTTGTACCTTCAGGATGAAACTGCTTTTCTAAAGAGCCACCGTTATTATAGGTTGCAATGAATGGTCACAGTCCTTTTTGTTTTCAGAAAATTTAAATCCTAATGTGTTTTTAATGAGATGCCTTTTGAGATTTTTATTATACTGTCATTGTTCCTGCTCTCTGTTGATATTTTACCTGTTCTCTCTCTGTGTCATATTTATAACGTTTATGGTGTGGACCTCGTAAGTCCTAGGGGAGGACTGGGAAGAATTCGGCTGACACTATACCGTAGAGACAGTACATACAGTACGAAGTGTATTTCTTTTGTGATGATAAAAATTTATTTTGAAAGTACTGATAGTTGGTGCCTGTGGCCTTCATTAACACATTATCTATCAGTGGTACATCAGATGAGCCGGTGTCAGTCTACTTTGTTTCACATCTTAGCAACCACGGCTGGCTTATTTTGTGTGCACAGCAAGGGCAGGTGGAGTCTTGGGGGTGGGGTGGTAATGCTTCTCTTCCTCAGCTTTCCCTTATTTAAGCAAATGGAGGAGCACCGTGTATGTCAGGATTTTTTTTTTTTGCAGAATTGGGGATTGAACTCAGACCCTTACGCTTGCCAGGGAAGTGCTCATTCCACTGAGCCATCTCCCCAGCCCTGTATGTCAGGATCTTACTGTGCAGGCTGTGCAGATGCCAGAGGCACCTGGCCAAAGAAAGGCCGGAACGTGTGTTTTGGGAGGTCACCTTTGGTCAGGGCATCGCGCACTGAGAGAAGGTTCCTTCGCTCCCGTGTATGGTGCCGAGTGTCAGCCTTCTGGACTCAGAAGGGAAGTAGTTCTCATAGGGATACGTATAGTATGATTATTTAAACTGACACCAGAAGTCTGATGTAACTATTTAATTTGATTGTAAGGATTGGTTTTTCCAGTTAGATTATATGATGGTTGTTTTCCATCCACAGAATTCTAAATCTCTAAGCCCAAATTGTTGACAGTATTCCATTGTGTGCAGATATACTATATACATGCACAGGGAGATTGATTGACATAGGGAAATTATTTTATAAGAATATTATATTATTAAGGTAGTTTTGCCTGCTCCTCCCGAGTATGTTAGGCTGAATAAACTCCTTTCCAGTAGAAGGGTGTGAATGGAAGTCACGTGAGGAACATTCCTTGGGTAACTCTTGGCAAGGCCTTCTTGCTCTATTTCCACAAAACTGTGAGCGGCTCAGATAACTCTGATGTGTGTTTAGCTTCTTTTTTTTTGACCAAATTAAAGGAGGACCGGATTGATCTGTTAGCTGGCAGATCACTGAACTATTGTACAAATGATGGATTCCTGTGTAAAATTGCTGATGACCTTGGAGACCAAAGCATCAGTTGTTTTAGCAGGTACTTCTCATTAATGTTATTAGTCTGTAAAGACAAAAGCTGAGAGTAGAATGGATGCTGTGCACCACTTTATTATTCTAGAAAAGGTAAAATTCAGTTGCGCATAACTGAACTTACTGAAAAGAAACCTACTACACTTACGTGCTATTAAGACGGACAGTTTTATATTTAATAATCATTTTTCTACTTCAGTCATGATGTTTTGAGCAATTGTGAATTAATAATTGGAATCGTTACACAAAATTACAAATTTAACACAGGCTTATGATCACTGGACATTTTTCAAATGAAATAATTTGAAGCCAGGCACATAATTCAGTAGTAGAGCTTGCTAACATGCTTGAGAGAGACCCTGGGTTCCATCCCTAGCACCACATCCACCAAAAAATTAATTATATGTGTACTTTTCTTAACCAGGAGATAATATAATAAAAAATATGTTAAGGCGTAACTACGTAATACAGTAAGAAAAAATGCTGTGAAGGAAATAAATAGAGGTACAGGTTGAAGAAGAAAGGAAATACAGTGTCTCCCACTTAAAGAAGAATCTGCTTGTATTTGTGTAAATGGAAATGAAGTGCTGCAGTCTTCACATTTCACTGGGTATATTTAAAACAACGATGCCATGGCCTTATTCTAAAATGTTAGTATTTACAACACATGAGAAGTTAAATCTTTTCAGGTATTTAAAATTATGATGACAAGCTCAGTGTGGTCAACCACCCCTGTCACCTCAGCACTGTAGGAGGTGGAGATAAGAGGTCTGCTGGTTTGAGCCCAGCCTGGGCACATACGCAACTCAGTGACATGCTGTCTCAAAATTTAAGAATAATTTTAAGTTGTGGGGGCAGGAGACTGGGGAGGTGCTCAGTGGGAAGCTGTGGGTTCAGTCCCCAGCAGTGTATCCCCAATATATATGATAACAATTTTAAATATGATGCCTAAGTTTCTAATGTCCTTTCTGGAAATAATATGAAGAAAAATAACCAAGTGCTCGTATTCCTAGCCGTGTAGAATATGTGATACTGGGTCAGTGACATGTTTTAATCTCAGATTATAAATTACGGTATATTTCTGAAAAATAATTTTAAAGTACACTTGAAAATCTGAACTTAGTGTCTTATGGACAGTTATTTCAAGAAAGAGCAGACAGCTAGGGCAACAACAGCTTTATTCATTGACGCAAGGATGAAGTGCGTACAACAGGCAGCTGTGGGCATGTGGTCATGGGCCTCAGAGCTTAGGTTGGATTCTAAGAAAAGTGGTAAATCCTGTCAGCAAAATGACCTTCAGCCAAGGGTTTCAACAGGCTTTTGTGCTAATCAGGGAAAAAATCCATAGTAACATAATTAAAGGGGCAAAGGAGTCTGGGAACTAGACATTTATTTGGGAAAGATGTTTATATTTGCTAGAAGACAGGACTCATGTAAGAAGGGTGTGAAGAAATTTGATTTGCCAAACAGTTTACCTTACAAGCTGAAACAGAGAGATTGTTCTTTAGTTATGTATCTCAGTGCAGGTTTCTGAGGAGGACAGAGAAATAGAAAAAGAGATGATCTTTATAGAAAGGGTGATGAGATACTTAAAACACACACACACACACACACACACACACACACACAGTGTGGTAGGGAGGAAAAATGTCATCTTGGGGATTGGGATCTGGCTTAAAGTCACTAAGATTTTGTATGAATGTGTTGATAGGATTAAAGCCTTGCTTTATTAGTTATGCAGCCACCAAACAGTTACTGAGCACATGTTCAGTGAAGCGCCTTCTACAGGTACCAGGGAAATACGTGCTTGGGTGTTGGGGCTCCACGCACACTTTCTCACAAACTTATAGAAAACTAAAAAAAGACCCATAAATCAATACAAGGGAAATCCACATGGTACAGTAACACAAGACCCTTAGAGGAGAGAAATAGTATTTTCACTTTAACTAGATAGGGACAAATTCACTGATTCAATCTTTCAACAAATATTTGCAAACATAAAGTATAGTGGCTATAGAATATAGGCAGCAGCGATAAGTAAGGTAAACCCAGACTGAGCTAAGATTTTGAGATTCTTTGAAGGGTTTCTGAGCATTGTATTTCTTGGGAAATGTATATATTTTTCTAAATCTAAATGAGAAAAATCAACAGAGAAATTGGAAAACTAAGGGTAATTACTCTAATAGTATAAGAATTAAGATGCTATCATTGTTACTGGTTTGAACATGCACTTCCTTCAAGTTGAAAGTAACAGCAAGAAGTGCTGGTGCTGGAGAAAGCCTGCATGTTCAGAGTTGGGATGCGAGGATGGAGGAAAAAATTGCTATGGTCTTAGAGGCTGGCCTGGCTTGTAGCTGTTGCCATGTGTTAAATTATGTGTGCTTAGCACTATGCAAACAGAGTTCATTCTTACAGATAAACTAAATATGAATCACTCTGCAAAGAGTATACTTTACATAAATCCCATGAGTGGTACTGCAAAATCACCAGTTTCAAGAGCAAATTAAGACCTCGTTGGTAAGTTCCACATGGGATGCTATTCATATCTTGCTGAAAGGTTTCTAAGTTATGTTACAAGGTCAGTATCCCTACCCTGAATACCCAGAATGCCCTCAAATCCCAACACTTCTAGAGTGTTAACATGAAGCCACAAGTAGAAAAAACATACGCTTCACCTCATGTGACAGGTCACATTCAAAGCACACAGGCAGGTTCAGGTGGATTTGGGTGTAGACTTGGGTCCCTGCCCCCAGGTATCTCATGTACTATACAATCAAATATTTCAAAGTTTGAAGAAGTCTGAACTTCTAAGCTCCAAGGACTTTGGGGTTTTTCATATTTATTTTTATTTTTATTTTTTAAATAATTTTGTTGAGAAAGAAGTAGCAATGAGACAGTTTCAAAACAAGCTAGGAGGACAGTTACAATAATTAATACATTGCATATTGTCTTTGTAGTAGTTATTCATTGTATAAGATGCAGACGTGATATCTTGTCTAAAC